TTACATTGTATACATTTGATCCCGTTATTTTCGGTTTCACGATGTAATGTTTTGCTAGCGCACTAAAGAACTTTCCAGTGACAGTACTATCGGCGTGTCGTCACCCGCGTACGTGTGTTGCGTCTCCCTTTGATTGGGTGAGTAGACGGGCGTGCGTCTGACGTTGGCTGTGTTGTCATTTTGGCGGGTAGTTTTTCCGTTGTAATAAAATTTAATGAACAAATGAATGAGCGAAATCCCGATTGTGTTATTATGGTTATTTATACCAGCAGCAACAACACGAACCTTGGTCCGGACTTTTATTTGTGAAAACGCCCTGAGTTAATAACTAGAAATGTGGAGCCTTTTGTTGCATTATGGGACATGTAGGATCTAGTGTATTTGGAGCATACTAGGGATTAACTAAGGATATCCTGATGTCTGCTGCTTTAATTTAGATTTTTTTTCCTGATCTGTCTCTTGTGAGCCATCCAACTTCATGGAAGTGTAATAGTAAAGATATAGTAGAGTCATGGTGTCACACTCCCTCTGCCTGTGTTTCTATCACAGCCTCTCTCTGGTTTGTTTACATAGCCGGTCTGCTCTGTGTGCAGCTTCCATTTTTGTTCAGTACAGTTCAGCAAAGGAGAACCAGGTTCAAAGTTTGCATGCGTGGAATTTAACTCACTCTGTCCTCATCCAAGATTGGGCACTGATACTCTTCATCATAGCCATCGTAAAGCTGTCCTGGAGAAAAAGTATCATTAGGATAGCCTCAGTGTGACTCCGCTATTATCTGCATTTATTTGCAGTACCAATTGTAATGGAACCCAGAAAAAATCCTCAAGGAATTTCAGTTGGTTTAACATTTTTACCTTCCTGGGCCAAGTCTCCGATGTTAACATAGTTCAGCCCTGTCCGCTGGGCAAGCTCCTTTCCTAACGTGGTCTTTCCAACTCCTGGGGTTCCTTCAGAAGAGAGGATTAACATTAGACTTAGATATCGATCACTTGAAAGGTGAAATCTCACATACTGCATCTGGTGAAATCTAATTAGGGTATTGAGCACCTATTGACTCTGTAGTGAAGATGCTGAATTTTGCCTTTCAACTACCCATGTGGCATTCAAAGAGTCTAGAGTGTAACATTTAGTAGGCTCTATTGTCAGAAATGTACTATAATATTCCTAGATATGTTTTCTTAAGTGTATAATCACCTGAATATAGGCATCATTGTGTTTTTGTTTCTTTGAACCAAGTTTCAGACCTATACAGTCCTAAATGCAAATGCAAAATGCAACTCAAACCTGATTTTATCAGCCACGGGGTTTATTTTACAAAATAGTGCCATATATATATATATATATATATATATGTAATCTGCTGAAGGTGTCTAACTAACAGAAACACACCAGAAGTTTAAGTCACCTGTTAACAGAATGTTTGGTCTCTTCTTCATCTTCATAGCTCGCTAGCGGCCAACACGTGTCTTAATGACGGCAACCTGAAAGACAGAATAGTCCTATTATCTCTTCATGCCATTCTAGACGAACACTTTAACGCTAACGTTAAATCTCTATGCTATATGTCAAGAAACAAACCTGCTAAAGAGGAAGCTAACAAAATGGAAGACGTAATTAATAGTCAGCTAGATGTTTCCTATCACACTAGCCTGAACAGACTTCCACAAACAAACACTGCAGTAGACTGAGTTTTCACGACAGTTTTACACCAATGAACAGTCAGTTTACGGCAATCTGGAGTTTAAATGGTAACGTTAAACTTCACTTTTCCTCATAGATCCTTTAATTATTTCGTAGCACAAGCGTAAATCCACCTTTGATTAATATTTATTTCACATTAAACTCGAACAAGAGTTTGAAGTGACGGAAACACCGAAGTCTGCTTCAAATGGTCAAACAAGGTTAGTCAGTACAGAGATATGATATTAGCTTAATGTAACGTTAGTATGCCCATCCCACCATTCTGCAGTCAAATGCGATTGTAACGTTATCTTAGTAAACAACAGTATGGTATCGTTCAGAGAAACTGACAAAAAATGTACTTTTGTCCGGTATTTGACTTTTGGGTGTACGTTTGTGGTGTGGGACTATCGTAACAGTTAACTCACATTTGGCAGCACAATAGGGGGAAAAGATAATGCTATATTAAACTTAAAATATCCACCCAGACTTTAGTTGTGCTGTATACTATGAGAACTGAATCTAACAGGATTACTACCAACATTTGCTTTCCAGTTCTTCGTTGAACTGCTCCTCTCAGTGTGAAAGATGAACAAGATTTCTGTGGGAGATAAAGCTGCTTCAAGCAGGGTATGTTCTTAATGACAATTACATTCCATGATGTGTGTGTGTGTGTGTGTGAGAGAGAGAGATTCCCAGAATAAAGATGTCATCAGATGAGTCAAGGTGTATGAATATAGTACAGTTTGTAAAATGCTTTACCTCCAGCCAATTGCTTTCAATCAGGATTCCCATGTCTTGGAAACACCCTGAAATGGAATTAATTAAATATCCTGGAATTAATTAACTTGAAACTCAAGTGTTTGTAGGGTGAACTGTATGACACTTAAAGTGGGTTTACCAGATGCAAAGTGGAACAAACTAATCTTTTTGCATTGAGTTTATTTTTTTACAGAGCTGCATGCAAAATTTGCATGCATACGGCCTCTTGTTTCTACCTCAGTTGCCAGTGGTGAGGTAGCAGCTCTTCACCAAGCACACAACCATCTGTTTTCTCCTGTAAATTATATTCAAGACCTGGTTCTGTCTAGTAGCTGTCTGTTTGTATTTGGCTGTAAATAAATGTTGACTTATTCTGGATATCCACCATCAGTTGTTCCTTATGAATAATTTTTGTTTGACTGTATTTTTAAAAGCTGAACCACTGGGTGGATCCGTCCTTCACTGATTTTCCTGGAGAAAGCTTTTCCCTGTCTGGAAGAAGAAAGGGCAGCCAGGTGTTGGGCTCCAAGGCTGAGCCCAAGAGGCCCCGGAAGAGAAAAGGAGAGGCTGGCAGGTCAAACCCTCACACGTTGTCCTACCTGCTGAAAGAGTCAGCCCAGCGGGACCAGGATGAGCCCTGGGTGGACAGATATTCCCCCCGTTCACAGGTCAGCATCATCACTGTTGACATTTGTTCTCATGTTCGTGTTATCCATAAACACATTTACAATCAACCGATAACTGGTCTGAATCCAAATGGCCACCCTCTGCACTTGCAGGCTTGTCATACCTACTTGTGATTTGTCTGAAGTGTTTCGTCATTAGATCAAGGCAGTGAAAAGACATTATGAGACATAACTTAAGACTTCACTCATCCCCATGCCTAGATCTTGACTCCATAATCCATATGAGAGTATTAGTATGACATTTCTTATATATCTCTAATATATGTATATATATCTCAATATACATAAGTATAAATAATAACATAATGTCTCCAATATGAGCGATGTCCAATATGATTTAAATCTATGTTTTATATTATTTTAAATCATTACATTGATTTGTATCTTGATTCAATTCAATTTTTCAATTCGTGTGTGTGTGTGTGTGTGTTGTGTGTTGTGTATACACCGATCAGCCATAACATTATGACCACCTGAGCACCCTGGTGGTCATAATGTTATGCAGCAACAACAGCATTGCGCTGTTCGTGTCTATGACACCTTTCTGTCGAACCAACTTTTTCAGCAGTTTGAGCTACAGTACTCGTCTGTTGGATTGGACCAGACGGCCAGCTTCGCCCCCCACGTCATCAATAGCCTTGGCCAACATGCACCCAGCTTCACCCACACTTTCTTCTTTGGACCCTAGATTCTAGCATCTACAAGCATGTAGCAGATCAGAACTCTCTGGTTCACCTTCCATTAAGACACCCTTTCAAAGAGTTAATTTGAGTTCCAGAGGGATGACACCATCAAAGGGCACACAGGATTCAAACCCTAGCCACCCTACAGCAAGGAATCAGCTTTGGTACAAGGGTGTCAGCTCTACCAGGTGGCTACTCCGGATGCCCCCCTGCGTCTTTAAGTCCTACAGAGAGGGTTTCAGAAAAGGGAACATCTCAGAGCTTGTTACCTGCCATAGTCTTTACTTGTAGTTTTGTCCTCCAAAAAGATACAACCACCAGTGTTTTTGCTTCAAATCTCCTTTAACCTGCCTCTGACCTGAGGGACATCTGAGTTCTGTATGGTACCACAATGTTGACGTAGCGTGAAATTTGTCTGGAGTCTGCACTGGTATTTTATATCTAATTAATTAAGCGATTCTCCTTACGCCAAGTCCGTGTTTTATCTCCTGCAGTGCAATCTGCTCTGTGCTCTTGACGTGAGTGGGCGTCGGCAAATAGTTTATATGC